GCCACTGCACCTGGCCTTTTTTTAAAATGAAAGAGACGAGGGTCTCACTTTATTGGTGCAGATATGTGGTCAACCTTGAACTCCTCGGCTCAAGTCATCCTCTTGCCTCTCTCTCCCCAGTAGCTGGGACTACAGGCATGTACCACGAGCTGTATTCGTATTTTTAAAGCATGGAAGAAGTTACACAGCACAAGCTAGGCGCGGTGGCTCATGCCTGTAATCCCAGCACTTTGGGAGGCCGAGGCTGACGGATCATGTGGTCAGGAGATCGACACCATCCTGGCCAACATGGTGAAACCCCGTCTCTACTAAAAATACAAAAATTAGAAGGGCGTGGTGGCGCATGTCTGTAATCCAGCTACTTGGGAGGCTGACACAGGAGAATCACTTGAACTAGGGAGGTGGAGGTTGCAGTGAGCTGAGATTGTGCTACTGCGTTCCAGCCTGGTGGCAGAGTGAGACTCTGTCTCAAAAAAAAAAAAAAAAAAAAAAAGTTATACAGCACAATGGGCCTGCACAATATTTAAAATTTTTAAAAATTAATTGACATCATTTAATTGAGAGACAGTGCGTAAGAATCTGTGTTTTCAGCTTCTTTTGAGAAAATGTGTTAATACTGGCTCACATAACAGTGACGGACTAGGAGTTCTCCATTTTGCCCTGTTTGCAGTTCTCATCTGGCCCTGGTGAGTATTTGAGATTGTAATCTCTGATTTAGAGTCATACAAACAAACAAAACGCTGAATTTAATTTAACCAACTCATGCTGTTTTGGTTAAACTCTTTTTTTTTTTTTTCTTTCATATATTACTTGTTAATGTTATCCAGATTTGGGCAATGTTGTATAAGATTTTTGTTGACTCATGGTCCTGGTGGTTTTGCTATGTTTTTGTGTTTTGAGAAAGGGTTTTACTCTCTTACCCAGGAGGGAGTGCTGTGCAGTAGCACATTCACAGCTCATTGCAGCCTCGACCTCCTGAGCTCAAGTGATTCTCCCACCTTAACCTCCTGTGTAGTTGGATTGCAGGCGCACATCACCACACCAGCCTACTTTCTTAATTTTTTGTAAAGGCTGCGTCTCACTATGTTGCCCAGGCTGATCTTAAACTCCTTGGTTCAAGGCATTCTTCCACCATGGCCTCCCAAAGTACTGGTATTATAGGCATGAGCCACTGTGCCTGGCCCTTTTCCAGCGTTTTGAATTGGGGATTGTCACAAACCTGTAACAGTGGACGGGAATCCCTATTAGCCTCAGATTTCTCTTGTTCATTGGATTTTTTTTTATGAAAGACGTCCTTTTTTTGGGGAAATCTACTGAAAATTGAAGAAACAAAAGTAACTACTTTTCTCTTTTCCAGATGTCTTCTAAGTGGAGGAAAAAGGAATTTTCTTCTTATAGATCGTTAATAGCAGCCCTTACCAACTCTTGGTCAAAGTTTTGGCTCATTATATTTAAAAGTTGCATTTGTTCATTTCCTGCTTTACAGTTGATTAGATTTGATTTGTCTGTCTTAGGATTTGTGTCTGGCCAACTGCCTTTTTCCAGGAAGAAAACTATATACATTTAACTTGCATTTTGACTTTTTCCATGTCTTTTTACGTTGCCTTGGGGCCTCTTGGCTAAAGCTTGCTATTTTTCTCCCTAATTCTCAGAATTCTGTCAAAAATTTAGTTGAGTTTTATATTTTTATGGAATCTAGGGGATTCTGACAGTGGCCTCTTAAGGTGGATATTACAAGTTTCCTTTGATACACAAAACACTTTTTACTTCCAATCCCATACCTTAGACTGTTGTTTATTGTAGCCTGACAAAATGTATGACTTAGTGGTGGAGTCTTCATTAGATTTGCCAGTAATCTTATTTGCCATAAGAGGCTAGTGATGTAGGAGAGGACAACAGTTTCCCATGTGGGAAAGCCTTAGATATCAGTAGAGTTGGGAAGTAATTTCTTTGTTACTGATCAGTCACTTTTTTCACTTTACTCATTCTTCAGAGTGACTTAGTATTGCTAGTTCTTACTACCTTTTTTCTTGTTCTTGAAAATTAAAAGAAAACTTGAAAGAATCCAACCAATTTCAGATACGCATACACACACTGGCCTTTTAAACCTTGAGTTTTTCAGATACTCCCAGGCTGTGTAAGCCTGGCTTTAATGTTTCCTGATTCTTTGGTCCTCAGTGAGTTATGATTGAGAGTTGCAGGGCTGAGGGTTGGTGATACGGCCAAGCAACTCATTTCTTCCCTGCACTTCAGTTTCCTTCTCTGGAAGGAGAGCTTTGGACTAGTTGATTTGCTAAGTTTTTTTTTTTTTTTTTTTTT